TTATAATTATTATCACATAATGTCGATCATCACAGATAAAAATAGAAACAAATATTATTAGTCTCAATCTTCGAGTTGATTTATTCAAAACTTTCAATTGTTATTTACTCAAAAACTGAAATTTATCTCAAAGGGTCATTTTCCTAGCAAAAACCCCAAATTATTCTGAAATTATTTTTTTTAACAAAATTTATTTTAAAATAATTTTTATTAAATTATATAAGTTATACAAACTAGCTTATAATTTAAATTAGTTTAAATTGAATTATTAATTAATAATCATAAATTAAACTAAATTAATGTAAAATAAAAAGTAGTTTAGTTAAGTTAATATTAAGTTAATTTATATAAAGCTTTAAATATACTTATTTATAGACTTTTACATACCTTTTAAAAGCTATATAAATATTAAATATTTTTACTAATTATTACTAAATTATATCATTTAAAAAGAAATTTAAATATAAAATTTTTTTTGTTAACTGAATTTTCATCAAATTATATAATCTAATTCCTTTATAGTTAATAATTTAAAAATTAAAAATTATAGTTTAAAAACAAATAATTACTTAAATAATTTCTAATAATTATTTAGAATAAAGCATAAAATATTATACTTTTAGAAAATGTGAAAATTTAATCATGTGAGTATTTCTATTTGTCACATCACATGTATAAAAAAATCAATAAATAAAAAAATAAACAAAATAATAAAAATAAAAATTAATTTATTATATTTACTGATTTAAATAAAAAATTTTACTTTAGATTTAAATGGTTTTTATTTCTTAGTATAATTTATAAAAGTCAATCAACTTAATCTTTATTTAATCTTTTAAAAATACTATTGATATAATAAAGATAAATAAGAATTTAATTATATATAATTTGTTTAACTCTTTAAATCTATCATAAATTTAATATTGCTAATTTAATTATTTATTTTAGATAATAATTTTTATTTAAATTTTAAAGATCGATTACTTAATGAGTTAAAATTTTTAGATTTTTTATACAAATTTTAGTCTAATTCTAAAATTTTATTTTTTTTAATTTTATTAAAAATATTATTTTTTCTTTTTTATTTAATATTATTTTTACTTTTATTAAATCATTTTCTTAATTACATTTATTTTAACATTATTTTTTGATTTTATTTTAATTAATTTATAATTTTATTTAGAAAACTAGATATAAAGTAATTATTACAAAAGAATAATCTTTAAAATAATATAATTTTATTTCTAATAATATTAATTTCTCTAAAAATAGTTTTTTTTGATATTTCTTACAATCCTATATAAAACTTTATAGATTATTTATTTTATTCATAATTCTTACAAATATAATTATTATTAGTTTTTTTTTGAATTGATAATAATCAATTATTTTAACTTTTCTTTTATTAAGTTAATAGTAATAATTATTTTGTTAATTATTGTGATCAGAATTAGTTAAAAAAACTGTTTTGTAAAATTGGTTTTATAACTAGCAAAGATTATTAAATAGCAGTTTTATTTTTTTTTACATCTATACTGTTTTAAAAATTTTATATATTTTTTTTACTGATTTTATTTTATATAATAAATATTACATTATTACATTTTAAAATAAAGTTAATTTAAATTATATAAAATTATATTTTGAAATGTTTTTTATCTATAAAAATTTAGTTTAATATGAATTAGTAATTATTGATAATTATTGGATAATATAAAAAATTATTCAGATACTTTTTTTCATTTTTTATATTTTAAATGTTTTTTTTTGAATTTTATTTAATATATTATATAATTAAAAAATTTGTTAAAAAAATTTAATATTTTAAAAATATTGAATTTTAGTTAAATTTTAAAAATTTAAATTAATTAAAATTGGTTTATATTTAATATAATTTTAATGTTTATTAAAATATTATAATATTAATAAAATAAATAAGATATAATAATAAATTTTATTAAATTTATTAATTAAATTTAAAAGATAAATAATAATTAAATTTTAAATTTTAAAAAAAATTTTATTAAAGTTTTAATTAAATTTTAATAAATATAAGTCAAAATGTATTAAATAATTATAACTAAAAAAATAGTTTCAAAAACTATTATTAAGTCTAAAGCATAAGTATAATAAAGATATCAACTCAAATTTTGAGCAGGTGGACAGCTAGATATTTTCATTATTATTGCTCATATATAGATAGTCCTAAGCTTACGTTTTAGACTAATTAATATTAAAAATTATATAAACATTTTGTAATAGAAAAAATATTATAATTTTATTTAAATAAATCTAATTGTAATAACTATTATATGTAACAACTTATTAGAAGAGCCAATAAATAGCTTTTTTTTTGATTGTAATATAAATACAAATACCAAATTTTATTGGTTCTTCTAGAAGGTTGTTACATGTAATATTTGTTACAAATACTTTTATTCATTTTATTTTATATGCTAATTATTATATATATTTTTAAAATTTAAAGTTAGTATTTTAAAATTTAGAATTTAAATGTATAATTTAAAATAATATTTATAAACTTTATAACTTTATATATCATTTATTTTTTTAAATAATATTTTTGATAAGTTTTTAGAAATCTTTTAATCAATATTAACTTTTATTAAAAATTAAACCAATATTTTTATAAAAGATTAGTAAGTAGATAATTACTTTTTTTAAAAAATTTTAATTTTTTCAAAATATATATAAATACATATATATATAAATCTAATTATAATTAAATAACAAAATTTTATTTAAAATATATTTTCTTTTAAAAAAAATATATATTCAAAAATTAACTTAAAAAAACTTTAAATAATTTATTTATCATTTTATTTTAAATAGTTAAAATTATAGGTTATCGTTTTTAATTAAATAAATATTTTCAACTATACATAACAATTTAAATGTTAAAGTAAAAAAATATTCGATTCTTGAATGGTTCGTATAAAGAATTTCTCAAATAATAATTGGTTTCATTAATAGTATCTTCATTATAAAGCATAACAACTGTAATGATGACATAATTCAATAGTTGTAATAACATTTTCTCTCTTTGTCTGTAGTATTAGGTAATATATAATTTAAATGTTGTGACATATATAATTTTATTTTATGCTATTCAGGGAATTTCATTTAACATATCAATTACCTTAAGTGGTAAAATATGTAATTTAATTGTTGACTTTCACTTTCAAAGATTACTTAATGTACAGTATGTCACTAATAAATAATCATTATTAATACGAATTTCGTAATGACACATTTTATTAAAAAAAAAAAAAAAAAAAAAAAAAAAAACAATTGATACAAGTATAATATAAAGTCTCTTATCAGTTACATTAAAAATTGTTATCTACTTCACACAGGATATCTGACATGCTAAGCCACATTGGTTTGTCCATTATTGGACAAGTTAATACAAAGTCAACTTGGGAATCACGTGAGCACGATGTTTGTTTAACATTTGAATTTTTGCCGCGTGTTTTTAGCAACGTTTTAAAATGAGCGGACATTTGTTTAGATTTAAATGTTGTGGATCGTTTCATCTTGAACCACATTGCTTTGGAAAAAAAAAAAATAAAAGAAAAAGGGAAGGAAAAGATAAGGGTGTCAAATCAAGCAATAACTTTAATCATGCGGAAACTCACCTTTTATAGTAGGGAATCGAATTCTGTATTTATATTGTGTAATAAATTTAAAAGTACTTGAATTCCAATTGCGTTTAATAACTCCATGTGAAATAACTTTAAATAGTTTTAATTCAAATGGAGACTTAAAGAACAAGAATCAATTCTTTTTAATCGGTCTTTTTCTAAATTTGGGATCTTTCAATGCGTACGGGTTTCTCACACTCACGTGATTGCTTACATTGAATCAATCCTTAGTAGTATAAAAAATATGAATGTATTTCCGATTTTACAGTGTTCCCCGAATATATTATACTGCGGTGACAAACAACATGTACAATTCAGCGATTATTCCTATTTATCCAGGCAAAATTGCAAATAAAAACTTGCATGAGAAAAACTTGTTCGGAAACAAGTCCAATTTGAAATTTTGGGGGGTTCAATTTTAAAAAAAGTTTTGCCTACCCTTCCTAACAAAAACATTATCTAATTGAGAAATAACCAACTCTACTAAAGAGTCAAACACACAAATCTCCACCTTTTATATTATTACGATCGTTTTTATTATTATCCTTGTCTGCACATCTTTCCATTTATAAAAAGATGTAGTTCAAAGCAAAATAAACAAGACTTCGATATGAAGATACACAAGGTTGTATACAATAAATCATTTAAAAATCGGCTTATTTATGGTGTTACTGAATATTGATTTACCACCTACCTTTCGCTTTATCATAATATTTATTTATATATTATTAACTTAACTCTATATTAAGGGTGGGAAGAAGATTAATTTGTTACATAAAAAAAATATGATTTTTTTTTTTCCTTTATTAAATCCTTCATTTTCTCACGCTCTTTTGTTTCATCTGTCTTTTTTTTTGACATTTCACGTGCATGTTATTACATAACATCTTAAATCAACCAATTACATTTGATCGTGCAAGTTTAAAATCATTTCCAACTTTTGTGACAATCTTTTTTTTTTTTAAAAAAAAAAAAAAAAAAAAAAAAATTAATCAAATTTAAAGTGGTAAATATTTTTTTTTTCATCTTTTTTATTGCAACGTGAATAACCTTTTTACAGATAAAAAAAAAAAAACAAAAAAAAAAAAAAAAGCCGCAAGTAGAAAAGGAAAAATAAACTACAAGTGAAAACATAATACTTAATACTAAATTATTATTACTAATGTTTGAAAAGTAATAATTACTATCCAAAAAAAATTTTTACAAAGAAATTGTTCCTAAAGAAAAAAAAATTACAGCAGAAAATAAAAATAATACAAATCTATATATGACATAACATTGAAAATCTAACAACTTAATATATATGTAGTAAAAAAAAAAAAAAAAAAAAGAAACTTAATATTTCCATAAGTAATTTAATGATTCAACTTCATCTAAGAATTCCACCCTTCGAAACTCTTTTAAAATTCCTTCTTCTCGATACTTTTGAATGATCTCTTCAAAATATGAGGTCACAATAAATCTGAATGGAATGTAAAATGATAAAGGTTTTCTTTCAGATAACTTCCATTGCTCCAAAAATTCCGCCAAATCTTCGGGTGTAAATTGCCATTCACCGTCTAAATTTAAAACTTTAAGATAATAAGGACTATTAACCCTTATTATTAAGTCGAATAAATCTTTACCATCAGCCCTATTAGTAAATGTATAAATTTTTAATGCTTGTAGTCGCTGATGAATTGTCAAAAATCTTGAAAGTTTTTCGATTGCCAACTCATTCCACCAAATCGTGACAAAATTCAAATTTGAGAATTTCGGTCTTGATAATAAGTCAAGATAATTCCTAATTTCCTCCGGTCTAGTGGGGGGACAATCTGTATTCCAATATATCCTTGACAAGGTTCCTTGCGTATTCTCAATAAATTGGGTGAATATATCAAAAGGAGTATGTTCATCCCAAAATATATCGAGAACTTCAAGTTTAGGAAAGACCGTTGAGGCGAATTGTGATAAATTTGAAATCTTTCCTGATATGAATAATTTCAAATATTTTAGATTGACGAATTCCGCAAGACTGGACGGTCTGATACACAGACTGCCATGAAAATATAAGGTGGAAATGGATTGAGCCTGTGATATTAAGGCTCGACCGATGCGTGGATACTCATTATCCTGCCCATCGGGAGCTTGTAGCTCCACATATTTCAACCCAGTTTGAAATTCGATTAAAGTCGCAAGTCCATCATTATCGTGACAAGGGTCGATAACCAATTTCTGAACGTTTCTACATGTCTGAGCTAATCCAAAAAAGTATTCAGGCGAAAGATCGCTCCCACAAACCAATTCACGAAGCTTTTGTAAGCACGTCGTCGATCCCGGACAATAAGACAAGGGAGCTTTCGGTAGAACCAGGTGTCTAAGAGAGGACTTTGACATGAACAGCTTATAAATTTCTTGTTCAAATAAATAATCTTTATACCCTCGGTTATAATCAGCGTTATCGTTTACGTGCTCTCTTGTCAATTGATCGACAGCTTCGGGTGTAAGGTGTTGACAAAATCTTACATAATCATATGTTGGACGATGTAAAATCGATCTGATGACGCCGTTTCTCCGCAGTATCTCTTGTGAATCGTGGGATAAGCAACATAATATGGTTGGGGTTATGGTCGTCCAAAAAGCATAATCAGATGTTTTCTCAAAGTTCCAAGGATTACTCCATAGAATACGAACGGAAATATCACACCATGCCCAATTGACCAATAGGCACGAATATAGAGAACTTGCGTCTTCTTCCAGATATTTAATTACCTGATCGATACAATCTGCCGGTAATCTAGACGCCATTATCTTTTTTTATTTTTATTTTTTTTTTTTTTTGCCTTTTTTTTTTTATATTCTATTTTCTTTTAAAAAAAAAATTTTTTCTTTTTTTTTTCTTACTTTTATTTGTTGCCGGAAAGAAAAGAAAAAAAAAAAGAAAAAAAAAAAAAAAAAAAAAAAAAAAGAGAAAAGGAATAAAAAGAAAGAGAATAAATAAAAATGATTGTTGTAATGTCTAGTAAAAAAAAAAAATCATTGGTGATATGAAACAAAGAGACCCCGAGTAAAGGTAACACAGTCGAATGCATTTTACCTGATATCCGATAAAAATTTTGTCATACGAAATTAATTATGTCTTATAAAAAGTTAATTCTGATCTTCTATTCACAATAAATATGGAAAATCAAAAAACTCTCGAGGAAAAGATCAGCTTTTAAATGGTATATTTTAAAAGTATCGATCAAAACTAATTTAAGGTTTGTACTTTTGTATGGATCTTGAATCAGAGAGAGGATTTTTCACAATCGATGGAGGCTAAATGTTATTGTATCATGTGAATAAAGCATATGTGTTAACCACTTTTACGTTTCGAAAGATAAGGGCAGACATATAAAAAAAAAAAAAGAAAAATTTTCTTTCACTGTAAAAAATAATTTTATTCTATCAAAGAAAAAAAAAATTATAATAATTATAAAGTAGCAGTGGTGGGAGAAAAAGAAAAAGGAAAATGAAAAAAAAAGGGTTAGGAAAAAAAAAAAGTAGAGTATAAAAAAAAAATTTCAAGATAACATATAAATACCAAAAAAAAAAAAAACGAGATAAAAATTGTTTTTCTGCAAGGTTTTGTACAATGAAGAGTCAAAAATGCACAAGGTAGATCAGCACTGAAACGGTTAGTAAACTCCCGAAGTAAGCAATTATTGATTAGCTATCTTTACAATTACATAACATGTAATTTATATCTGATTGGCTTAATTGCATGCGAAAAGCACATGATACGAGTATTGTGAAACATTCTTATCTATCTCATTTAGTAAAAGCCAACTAGAACTATTATGCGAGATTAATATGACACTTCCTCTACTGATCGACAGATACCGAAATTTCGAATTTTACTTTTGTGGTTTAACTCAAATTTTTTAACTTTTTTTTATAATACCTCAACAAAATGGTTTTTGTGTATTCTAAAAATGTTCTGAATCTAGAATGGGCTTTCCATTTTCCATTCAATCAATTACAAAACCTAAATTATAACATTGTACTTTAATTTTTAGGTTAAAAAGGGGAACGTGATATGAAAGATAATGAAAAAATTTTTAACGAAATATTTATCTCTTTCCGATAAACCCTAAGCCCCTTGCATTTTTTTTTTTTTTTTTCTTTTATTCCACGGAAGTTCTCAAAAGCATCATATATCATTCGCCGCTTTTCGGATAATAAGTGCTAGTCATAATTGTAGCACACAGATAAGTAAAAACTTGATTGTAAATAGCTAAATTGGATTCTGATAACCCTTTTGCTCCCGTAACCCTTTCCGGTCACGGAAATGAAAAACAAAAACACATTACACATTCATACTAACTTATTTTTACACTACTTTATTTTCTTATTATTATTTTTTTTTCTTGCACTGCGTCTTACAATCGATAATGGCATGTAAATTTTTTTTTTTTTTCATTAATTTGTTGAATACAATAATAAGGATTTTTATAGAAATCTGAAATGTTCTTTGTTTTTAAATAGTTTACAACTGAATAAATAAAGCAAATAAATAAATAAATAAACCTGCGAAAAAATGTAACAAATAGGTTCAAACTGTCAAATTGATGAAATTTAGGTAATTTCATTGCAAATCAGTACGGTAAAATTACTGCAAGTAGTGTAGTATCTGATAATGAAAATGGAACATACATTTTTTTTTTTTTTTTTTCAAAAACAAAAACTGGGGGATTTAAATATAATCAATCATACAACATATCATCGGACCAATCATTAACTCATCACGTGAATTCCACAAAAGTTCTCAAGGGTTTTGCCTAACAGAGATTAATTTCTTTTGTTGTTCTTTGAAATAATGGATAAACAAACAGTTATATGGGCTGATTTTTAGAAAATCAAGGTCAAGTTGGAAACAATATTTTTTATTTTATCACCACGAACCATACAAACTAGTTATCTTGGTTACATTCCGTTTCAAACGGTTTATAACAAATAAACAAACGTAATAAAAAGTGAAGAATGGTATTAAAATTTTTAATGTTTTACATTGGAAATTTTGTTTTCTTAATGCGTAGGTACAGTACGTTAAAATTGTGTAAGCTTATTGTTTTTTGTCCTTCTTTTTATGATTCTCCAAACTAAATGCCTATCATTCAAGATTAATTAATAATATCAGTTATTGGAGAATCTCGGGAAAAAAAAGGTAATTTGCCGATTTATATTCCCATATAAGTTTTATTATTTATTTATTATTTATTTTTTTTTTTTTTAAAAAAAAAAAAACAAATTTTCGCGATTTTCGCTTACATGTATCATGTCGATTATAGATGTGTAGTTTAATACTGTATATTCGGGATGCTAACACCGCAGCACAGGGAGGTAATGATATTGATCTAAATTTATTTTAGGATTTTATATACAAGAAAAAAATTTTTTTCTCAAGGATTTAAGGAAAGAAACAAAAGAATGGTAAAAAAAAAAAAAAAAAAAAAAAGGAAAAAAAAAAAAAGAGAAAAGAATGTTAACGGTCAAATCCCCCTTAAAATGAAATTTTTATCAACGCATTTAACCTTCTCCAAATCCTTCATTTTAATATTCACGGAAATTTGTGAAGTTCCATTGATTTCACAACCACTAGTACTGTCACTATGATGAAATGATCCTAATTCAATATCATCTTCTTCATTAAATTTCTTCTTTGAATGTTTTCTTTTAGATTTCTTTTGTGAATTCATATAAATATTACTTGACGATTCCAAAATCATTTGATTTTGATTTTCGGTTATACCGAATCCTTCGTGACAAATATATTGTATGGCATTTGCTATGCTTCCAATATTAACAGAGATAATGAAGAGATAATAAATCCATAACGGATCATTTCCTCGGGCTACTCCAAAAATAAATGGTAGAGTTGGTGTCTAAATTATCGAGGAAAAAAAATTTTTTTCTTCTTAATTAGGTAGGTCAAGCCGCCAAAAAAAAACCCATCAAAACGATTAAAATTGATGTTTACCCATTGAATTAGAAAATTAAAAGTATAGGCTAGAATTTTTTTGGTGGCCATTTTTTGTTGTACATCATTAATACCGATACCATCAGGTCGTTCCACAGTCGTTATCGTATAAATTATACAACCATAACAAAAGATGCATAATATTGCTGTAACTGATATTAATGTTGACATCGTGATTGTCAATGACCATTTCCCCGGTGAGCTCCAGCACCAATATTTTGAGGGACCGTAAGAATCGAATCCAATACAGGAAAATCCTAACGCACTGGTAATCAAAAGCAACCATAATCTGAAAGGAGGAAAAAGGATATGAATTAAAAGTCATTCGTTATAAATAATTCATCCCTTTTAAAGGGGTCCACCTGCCTGTGATCATATTTTCCGGTGTCAAGATAGAGATTCAAAATCACTTTTAAATAGGTTCTAATGGCAACGAGAGCAACTAAAGTTACGCTCATTGAAACGATAAACGCATCAAAAAATCCGTATATTTTACACGTGATTCCTGTCCAAGGCACTCCGATCACCAGCGCGCTAATAATATTAGCAAAATATAATATTGAAAGTAATGCGTTATTTATTGCTATATACATTGGTAATCTAATTCCAATTGAGAAATTTAGATTTTGCTTTAATCTTCGATATGTTTGAATTATCACAAATGCGCTTCCAACCAAACTGACCTACATATTGAAGAAAATTTTAGTATTTGATATGTGAACTTATGATTTTGAACATACGAAGATCTCTTACTTGTGATATTGTAAGGGCTAAAAAAAGATCAGGCAGATTTTTTTTTTAAATTTTTTTTTTTTTTAAAAAAAAAAAAAATAATGAAAAATTAATATGATTATGTCGAGAAAATTCTGCAGATGAAGTAATACGTCTTACTTACAAAAGATATATAAGGTTCGACCTTTAATATCAATTGGATTAAAATTCGGATAATTATTATGATATTCATCGAAATTTGAAATATGTTCAAAAATAATTAAACATTCAACGTTCGACGTTGAAATAATGAAAAAGAATGAAAACAAAAATATTTTATAATAAATCATCATATTAATTAATCATCTAATTATATCTATAACTCTAAAATCACCATACAGCTCTTGAAACCATTTTTTTTATTTTTTATTTTTTTGTTTAAAAGGAAAGAATAAAACGAATGTCTTTAGTTAAAAAAATTATTTTTTTATTTTTTTTTTAGATCCAAAAAGGATTGAGTGATGATTTGTAAAAATTTTAAAACAATTGAACGTATTTTATATGATTTATTTTTTATATAATAAAAGCAACAACAATTGCAATCTACAATTTAAATGGTTTGAAACAAACAAATTCAAAACTTACGAAATTTTACTAAACATTTTCTTTATTAATTTGAACAAATGAAGAAAGAAAATAACAGACCATATTATTTGTTTTGAGATCGAGAAGCCCTTAGTATGGATTTACATAAAAATGTTTATATAATTTTAATTAAATTTACCAGAATTACCAACGTTTTAAACTATTGTTTAATGATTATCTTTTGTCACAAGTTCGCACATTAGAATAAACAATCAATTTGTCAACAAAGTATTTTGATTAGTCAATCAAAATACTCTTTGGAATAATATTAAGGCATAAATTCGACTCGTGGGGTCTTTGTCAGGTTATATAAATATCATAATCTTTAAAATCAGTCTAGTTCGTAACAAGTTATTCTTTGTTCTTAAATTAAAAAATTTGAGGTTTTATAATACCATAATCGATTTATACGCTGAAATTGTTGACTTTTCAAAAACAACCTTTCTTGCCCTAAATGCTTAAAATTCTAAACAGTTCAAATTTCGATAAATATAATTGTTAACTCCCAAAATAGTTTTAACGCAAGTTTGAAAAACTTTTTATTGAAATATCGACTATCTCAAAATTATTTTAACCATAATCAAATAATTATTTATCAGAATTTGATTTAACATATTTTATTTTGATGATGTTTAATTAGTATTTACAATGTCAAGATTTTCTTTAATTTTATATATTTAATATTATAAAAATTATATATATCTTGAAAATTCATAAATAATATATTCAGTTTATCCAATTTTATGATTTTAAAATAATATTGAGTTGCATTAAGTTAAATTATAAATAATTGATTTTATATTTTGATTATATAAGATTTCATTAATAAAAGCAAATTATATTATAATAAATTAATAAGTGAATGTATATTTATCATTAAATAAGTTATTTTTTTTTTGTTTATACATTAATTATCAATTTCAACTAAATGAATTTTTAATACAAATTCAAATAATAAAATATACACTTAACAGTATAATTTATTAATTAAGTAATAAACTCATTTATTATATAAGCTTTTTCACAAATTATCTAAAAGGTATAAGTCAATATCTAAAATAAGATTAATAATTTAAAATTTTTTCATTTTAATATTCATATTAATATATATAGTATCTTAATAATTAAGTACAAATTAAAGTTGAATTCTTGCTATTTATTATGATATTAAAAATAAAAATTAGTAGACTTAATTTAAGATAATTTATTTTTAGATACTATTATATTTATAAACAAATAAATTAATCTGCTAATGTAATATTTCAATTTTAAAATATTATAAAAGCTTTTTCAATTAAATTAAAATTAATTAAAGATCTTTTACATTATAAAAAAATTTGCAATAGCAAATAATCAATTTAATTTCATTTTGAATAATTCTGATTTTCTTTAATTAACTATAATAAAATAAAAATACATATTAGATTATTAATAATTTAATTCATTTATTTATTTTTAAATTATTTATATAAAATAAAATATTAATTATTTTAAATAAAATTAATAATTTAAATAAAAATTTAAAAAAAAAGATTAAATTTACATTTTTAATTTACATTTTATATCAAATAATTAACTTAATAAAATTAAATATAGTAGTTCATTTAGTTTTTATATATTTTTAAACTATTATCTAAAATATTATTTTTTATTTCTTCTTTAATAATTTATTAATTTTATAATTTTATTATATTTACAAATACGTTTGATACTCATTTAAATTTTATAATTATTATATTACTAAAATTAATATTTAATATAATTAATATTTTTTTTAAATTTGCAAACAAATTTTGCAATCTAAGTGATAATTATTTATATAGTATAGACCTCTGTCAAAAGTCTCTGAACACTATCTTTTAGGCTTTTTCATACTAATTACATTATATGACTGTAGAAAATTGCAGTTATATAATGTTTCAGTTATTGTTTACTTAAATCAAACCAAATAAATATTGTAACAGGATTGGATTAACGAACGTGGCGCAGCATATTGCAGATCTAAATGTCAGACATATTTGATATATTTGATATACCGAACATATTTGATATAATTGATATCTTGGACATATCGGACATACAAGATATATTTGATTTATTTAATTTATTTGTTATATCCATCTATGTATTAATTTAGTATAAATAGAGAGCAATAGAATCATGTAAAACAGTAGTTCACTTTTAGTTTACTTTTAGTCTTCTTTTAGTTTTAGATACACATCTAGTAGTTCTTGTAGTGGCGTTTGGCCTAATATTCCATTTAGTACTTTAACTCTTTGATTGCTTTTCATATTACTTCTTATTTTTTTTATTATTTTCTCATATCTTTATTATTATTATTATTATCAATAAACATATTATTATACCTCTGAATCAATCGAGTTGCTTTGCTTTAGTCTTATCGTGAATACACTACTGTGTAGATTCTAAATCTTGAATTAAATTGAATTGAGTCACTACGTAAACTTAAAAGAATCACCACTCGAACACCCTGTCTAACTGTCACAATTTGCAAGGATTGCACGTTAACACTACTAGAGAAGTCTAAGAATTTGATAATTTTTAGATGATCTCTTATTCTTCCATTTTTACAATTTGCTATTTTAGGAATTCTTTATTTTTTGAATTAGTTTGATAAGGTGTTTACATAATTAGCACAATATCTCCTATTAAGATTTGATGTTTAATATAATTAATTTTTCTGATTTTTATCTGACTTTTAGCATAAATATTAGTATAGTCAGTTAGAAGTGTCTGAAAAAGTCCTTACTAATAGTGGTTGAGAGATCCAATCTAATTAGTAGGTATATATTTATTTTAAACAGTTTTAGCTAAAAAGATAGCTGGGTTCATTTTTTAGTATTTATTGAATTAATATTATCCTCATCTTCAGTTTCTGCTTTCAAGCTTTTTAGAGAATAAAAGTTTATCTACAGATTGAATTCTAATTCACTTTTGTTAACCAAATCACTTTCAGAGAAATTAGAGAAATATATTGGCATTTTTTCTAAATATTCTTTTTTATAATCCTTGTAGTCATCTTCTAAGATTTCTTTTAATACGTTATAGATTATAATCTTAAATGTTTTAGTAAAAGCAACTGAAATTCAAATAGTAATCTGATCTTTTCTAATAGTTTAGATGAATTTTTTTCAATCTATATTAGCGTTCGAATTATGAAGCCAATTATTTTCTAAGATTAAAATTTTATCTCTTAATTCAGGAATTAAAAGGAAGTTGAAATCTCAATTTTCTGATTATTATTAGCACATTATTAACAATTTCTAAAGTACAGGTTCTAGCTCTATTTGGCGTAATTATAATTATTTTTGATGATTGATCAATCTCATAATCTAATCTGTCTAATAATACTTTTATTTGCTAGTAGTTGCATCACTATCAATTATAGCAGTTTAAGCTTTTCTTCTGATTCAGAGAGTACATTTAGCTGCAGAAGTAAGTCCATTATCACTTTTAACTAGATTAGCTTCTTTAAATTCTTCAGAAGCTTTTTCTTTGGATCTTTTTATGACTTTGGCTAAATCAAAATGATAGTTTGGTATAGTATAAGCAGCTTGTCTAATTGATAATCTGTAAGAAAGATTTTAGAGGTAGGTGACTACGTTGAACTTCGTTAATTGTTTAATCAGAGTTGGCATTAACCTTCTCTTAATATTTTTAGGATTACTTAAAGCTTCAGTTTGTATCAGAATATAAGTATTCATCAGTATAAATTCTTTAGCGAAATTTGAAATAATCATTATAGAGTCAAGAATTCATAAATTAACATCACGTGATATTTTAATGAATAATTAAAGAAATATTTGATTAAATAAAAAGATTAATGAACAAATATTTAACCAAAAACTAAAGTATAGAATGTGAATAAACTATTAGCTAATAGATAAATTACTTATTGAAGGAAATGGATAAATTATTTACTGAAGGAAATGGATAAATTATTTATTGAAGGAAAAGGATAAAATCAATCACCGAATATTAAACAACTTTCAAATAGAGAAAATAAAAGAAATCCTAAAAAAGAAAATATGATATTATAAATAACATTATAAGAATAGAATAATCGAAAATTACAGAAAAT